TGCATAACGTATCATCACTGTGAATAGAGAATACGTTAAAAGACATTTCTTTGCGTGGTGAGTATAATAAAAATTATGAAGTTCCGCAAAACTAACTTCACTGACTTGATTTATAGTTTTCGTCTCAAGTCGTGTAACAAAATGCTGATGATTTCAAATCACATCTTTTATTTTTGTATTTCTCCTCTCTCATTTTTTTCGCCCATTTTTTATCAAAAAATAATCAACTGGCTTTTTGTTCCTTAGAATCCTTTGTCTTACGGTAACTAATACTCACGTAATATACACCTCATTAGCTGATTGTTAATCATGACGTAATGGAATGCAAGTACGGTATTTACGATTTACAAATCATTTTTTTTGTCAACGCCGGCAAACAAATTTGACGCACGCGTGGGCTCAGTTTCGTCACGGCCACTCTTTGATCTCGTCACAGACACAAGTCCACTTCGTCATTTATTGTAATTAATTTCGACGAATAAAGCTTTATTTTTAAATCAAAGACACAAAGAAAAAACATAACAGGTCCTCCTTTGCAATACATCTAGTAAAAAAGACGTTGAGTAGGATACTTTGCTTTAGCAGTCGGATGCACTAATACTCCTTAAGCCTTCCTCCATTTGTTCTTTAGAGAGTTCTTGTATCATCCAGATACTCTATTCTGACATGGTATTCTAATTCTTAAAAGAAGCTCTTGGATGAAATTTAGGAACGGACTCCAAGCAGACAAGTCAACAATCTTGTGTCAACAAAACTGAACCAAAGATCCTTTAAAATTGGTGACTTATGAGTTGCACGGCTGTCCATGATAATTACTTGATTTTTCAACTCGTTTTCAATCACGTACTGACATACTTGTTTGACATACTTGTTTGGCATAATCGGCAAACAATCCTCCGTTAGTTCCATGGGCCGTATTTATTGTAGCGCGCCTTTGTACACCTTGAATAGATGGTGTATCACAAGACTATCTCATTATAATAACAACTACTCTAATGTAAATACGGAACATATAAGAATCACCGATACAACAAATACGAATCACCGACTTAACAAACATGAACATATAATATATATACAAGAACAAATTAAGCATTTAATAAAGGATTATCTTATATTTGATTGAAATTATTGTCTCTTAGACATCGGATATTACAATAGACATTGCAGAAATTAGAAAGATACTTCTTTTACGCTGACTACCAACAATTTGAAATGCTGGGGATCCTTTCTTAGATCTAGCTTTACCCCTTGTAATACAAGCATTGAAGCCACTTTCATCAAAGGAAATACTATTATGATTGTAAATTATTCCTTCCACCATTAATTTATTAAATACGTTAATCTTGCATCATTGGTATCAGAATTATCCCATCGTATGGGATACTTGTGTAACCTTTTCAAGGCGTGTTTAATACGATTTTTTAGAGCATATTCTATTCCAGAAATAGAGTGTGGCCGTTCCATTTTTAATCGTCTTTCGAGACGGCCTGTAAATCTTCTAGTGTCACCGATTGATTATCCTCTGCCATGTTTTTGATACTTTGAAGATGATCATCCGTAAGTATTACATGTTGACGGATGCCCCTATTCAGTTCCTCTGTTCTACCGGTGTTTTCATACGTTTTACCATTGTGTGATAAGTGTATCTTGAAATTATCAAATGGGATGCTGTTCTGGCATCACGATTGTCATCCCAATATTATATTATTTCTTTTCTTAACTTATTAATGATTGACTGATATCCTGTTATTCTACTTCTAGAGTGCATCTTCACTGTAATGTGCCAAAACGTAATCTGTGACATTTTTTAGCATTCATCTCCGACTAGTACAAGTAATATAAAAGGAAATTTATTCATAGCCAGATTTTGTTAATGTGGGGAGGTTTTTTTATTTTTTTTTATGAAAATAAATTTTTAGAAAGGTACAAAAATAAACCAAACTTCTAAATTCACATTTCTATTTGTCCTTTTTAAAGCTCCCGTGAAGTAATACGCTCAAAAACAGTAACCCTTTTGATGCGTTTGTAATTTTAAAGAACGTTCCATCTAATATTACTGAAGTAAACAAAGTTTTCATGTTGTAAACGTTCTTTCTTAATGTATATCTACGATTTCATACATCTTTTTTGTGTTCTACACTTCACCATATTTGATCTCAGTTTAGATTTAACAGGCTATGGCACTGAGTACTTTATCTAATAAATATGACCTTTCAAATACATAAATTAAATAAACAACTAGTTGGATCTATTTTCAAAATACTCCAAATTATATCTTTTGAATATGAAGTGTTTCTACTTAGTACATAAAGTTTGTTTTATCCTTTTGGTGCCTTACAGTGTCGATCATATTTGAACTCAGTTTAGATTTCACAGGTTATGGCACTGAGTACTTTATCTAATGAATTTGACTATTCAAATACATAAATAAATAAAAAACTAGTTGGATCTATTTTCAAAATACTCCAAATTATATCTTTTAAATATGAAGCGTTTCTACTTAGTACATAAAGTTTGTTTTATCCTTTTTGTGCCTTACAAGGTCGATCATATTTGATCTCAGACTATGATTTAACGGGTTGTGGCACTGAGTACTTTATCCAACAAATACGACCCTTCAAATACATAAATTAAAATAAACAACTAGTTGAATCTATTTTCAAAGTACTCTAAATTATGTGTTTTAAATATGAAGCGTTTCTACTTAGTACATAAAGTTTGTTTTATCCTTTTTGTGCCTTACAGGGTTGATCATATTTGATCTCAGACTATGATTTAACGGGTTGTGGCACTGAGTACTTTATCCAACAAATACGATCCTTCAAATACATAAATTATTTATACAACTAGTTGGATCTATTTCCAAAATACTCTAAATTATATCTTCTAAATATGAAGCGTTTCTACTTAGTACATAAAGTTTGGTTTATCATTTTTGTTGTCTCACAGGGTTGACGATAAATGTCCTAAGACTTTGATTTAATAGGCTGTAATACTACGCATGCGGGTACTCAAATTGAGATTACAGGCAGTAGACATTTCATGGTCCGAAAGCGGGAAATAATATAAGCGGGACAATACTATTGGTCAGAAAAGAAAAATTTAAAATTTTGAACCTGCTTGTGACAAATATTTCCCCCCACACCTAAAATCGAGTTGTAAAAATCCCGGACCCACTTTTTTTTTAAAATAAAAAGTTCATATTCTCATTTTAATCATGATTAAAATGATATATGTCCAAAAATATTGGACCTTAATTATGAGAAAAGTGTGGTGGTCCAATTTTAACGTTTCTCTCTGCTTAATTTTTTTTTTTGGCACATTGAAGTCCAGATGCACTCTAGCACCTTGATTGGTTTGTTTTTTTTGCAAAGTATTTACCTCGTCAGATATTAAATACTGCATATTGGGTGAGAATATAAATTGATGAAATAAATAAAATTTTGCATTCTGTCACAGGCCTACATATTTATATATTTTATTTTAACACTGTGAAACTTTTTATCGGTCCAATTTTTGAAAAGATTTTGAAAAAGTTAGACCGGCGGTCGCGGTCCAAAAATTCGACCGATTATTTTAAAAATCGGTCGAATTTTTGGACTTATTTTTTAAATAATCTGTCAAAAAATTGGACCGATTTTTTAAATAATCAGTCGAACTTTTGGACCGATACTGACGAGTCCAAGCTATAGTTTCAGCAAATAGTAACGTAGTAACCTTATTATTTAAAAGAATGGTATTGGTTAAAAATACGACTAGCGTACACATTTCATGGGTAGCTACCCTTGCACATATTGAAATTTAGGATTGTATATATTGAAAAAAAAAGACTTTTATTTAAATAAAAACTCGAAGAGTAGTTATAGATATTGCAGAAAAAAAAACGGTGTAAACCCCACGCAGATCTATCCAGACTAACTAACAGAGCAGACTACTATTGTTCAAAACGAAAGGACACGGCCAGGAGTACTTACCTACGAATAATAATGTTAATAACAAGCACAAATGTTGTTATGATTATAGTACATACCTTAAAAATGAACCAGTGGACTTGGCGATGCACTTACCACACCATACGTGTATAACTATGGTTAGAATGTAGTTAATAAAATGGATAACAAACAGATAATAATATTATAATAGTAGCGTTTATCTTAAAGGATGTCGCATATTTAACAAGTGCTTGAATAGACATGATAAAAATATACCTTTTACAAAAAACTATATATCGTGTTAGTTTTATAGCTGGCTCAAATACAGTATGACTGAACATAATAACATTTATAGACTTAGTATTATTTTTTTATTTAAAGAAAGAAGAAAGAAGAAAGAAGAGAGAAAAAAAGAAAAAGAAAGGAAAAGAAAGGAAAAAAAAAGTTTTAAATAGGGCAGGTTAAAACTCAGAGAGAAAATAATTCCCCACCTAAACTACGAGACGATCTTGGAAGGCGCTTATCTGGCTTTTGATTTGCTTCATTGGCTTTTCTTTTGTTATTCTTGCTATTTTTGTCACCAACATCCAAAGAGACAGACACAGAAGTAGAGACAGCAGACGAGCCAGAAGGAGTAGATGAAGCCATGGGGCCAGAGGGGGGTAATGAAAGTGAAGGAGATGGTAAAGAAGGTCAAGGGGGAGGTATGACTGGAAGCGAGGAAGATGTCGGGGGAGAGGTAGATGCAAAAAAATTCAGAAGTAGGAGACGGTACTGATGTGATTGTTGGCATAAATGGAGTAGATGGCATTGATGGCATAGAGGGAGTAGGTGGCATTGATGGCATAGATGGAGTAGGTGGCATAGATGGCATAGATGGAGTAGGTGGCATAGATGAGATAGGTGTGGTAGGTGTGGTAGGTGGCTTAGAAGGAACAGAGAAAGTTGGAACAATTTCATCGTTTGTGATCGAGTAAGCTTCCATCGGAATATCATCGTAAGCATTGTCATCCGTGGACATGGTACGCGTAAAAGATGAAAGAGAGGGATTAGAGGCATTACTTGAATTAACATGGAGGTTAGCCATACCACCCAACATCGATCCGGAAAGGGGCCCACAAACATTGTCAAAAAGATTGTGATTAATTTTGCGCTAAAAAGCCATAAGGTTAATTTATAGATAATTCTTATAACTGTTAAATTTTACGTACATCTTTTTTTTTGTTCGACAATAAAGACTTCACCATCTCACAAGCGATCCAGTTTGCGTCTGCAAGATGCAATGGAACCATGGGCGTATTAGCATCCAGATCAAAGATACGACTAGCAGCATCATCCTCGGGTGGAATCCCTGAATCATCAGAGCGTTTGTTCCAATAGTAGACAATGCTTTCAATCATATACATAGTCTCTTTTCGTTCTTGCTTTTTAAGTTTCGACCAATTGACGCCATTAACACCAAATCTGTCTCCGAGGTATGCAGCCAAAAATTCTCGACTAAGATGGTGAGTATTGTGATACGCCTTTTGCGCTTTACCCTCTAAAGTCAACAAAGCTTCATTGTTGTTTTCATAATTGACAGAACCATCGAGATCTTTGAAAAATTTCTTTGTTGAATCGACAACGAGCTGAACCGTGTAAGAGGTTTCTGGCTTTAAGATGGTTCTCCTGCCCAAATGATTCATGTCATCAAAGCCATATTCAGAAAACTTTGCTTTGTAATAATCCATAGCTTTTGTGATGGTTTTGCGAAGTTTCATTGCCACGGCTTCCCTTGCTATAATTTTATAAAATGTAAGTCTTGTATTTAATAAATGCGTAGCTTTTTTTAAAATCTGAAAACGTTGCCATCTTTTTCGTGGGAAGATTTTGGGCCAATATCGGACCTGTTACTTGATCCTGATGCATTCTTGATACGGCTGCAACAATCACAATGTTTACCTTCAGGCAAATGAGTCTATTCTTTCAACAGCTTGGGAACAATAGAACTAACAACCTCTTCAACCATTCTTCTCATTAAATCAACGATTTCTTGACATTGAGAAGGCAAGGAGTTATTTGCGCTCATTTTTAAAAAAATAGATATGTATCTGTAGAAAAAAAATCAAAGTAACAAGGCGATTTATATTCTGTCACTCACTTTTAATTTATTTAGTCCAGTCAATCTGCACCAATCACAATCCATGCTTCGCCTGCCAAAATGGATATGATGTCATGTAACACAATGATGTAATTAAAATAACCGTGGCCTAATCATCTTGACAGGACTTGTCACTGGATAAGAAAATAGCTTAGAATGTCGTTTCTTAGGAACCAACAATAAACAGGATTGGTTTTGACAAGGACTTGTAGCTAAAAAGGAAACATTGCGTGTTTCCTGCTGATAATATATGATGTTAGCGATTTCAAAAAATACATAAATAGCTCCCCAAAAAATTGTTAGATACTTCCTTTCATCAATAATTGTAATCCAAATTTTTTTAATATCTACATGTCGTCCCCAATTAACAAAGTCCAAAAAGCTGAGACGAATCGTGTCCCCAGACGTGGCATAGCCGAATTTCTCGTTGGAAGTATGGCTTCTTCCCGTAATGCCCCTATTACTCCTGCCATCACTACCGACACTTCTGATACTGCTTCTTCTTCTTCTTCTTCTTCTTCTTCTTCGTCCATATTCCCAACCCGTGACACCTCTGGTGCTGCTGCTTCTACGGATCCAGCTGATAATATGGATGTTGATGCCGAATTTTACGAAGATATTAGCATGGTTGATATTGACTCTGACGTTTTGATCTTGCCACGCGAAGAAGAGATTCGCCTAGACGAACTAGATCACGAAAAGTTTTTGAACGGTGGATATTCTGATCCAGATTCTGACGACGAAGGTATGCTTGAAGAACTCCCAGAATTTAACGATTTAACGACAGATAACTCCACTGATATCGAAGAAAATTTAGAAGGCATGTCACTAGATGGTAAAAATTTATTAGCTTTGGGTACATTACCTAACATTACCTGAAAATAGTTGTATCTGTCCATCTCACCAATCAAGAAGGACCTATTATCACAAATGTTGTTATTCCTGACTACCGTTTCACTCAAAATGATCTTGATAGCATACAGTTCAACTACATTTGCATCTACAACAACATGATGGTGCAGGCCATAGCCAACATCAATTCATTTGTCGAAATGCTAGTAAACAGAAATAAGTCGCGTAAGTAAACCATTTCCCGTGGCCTCAAGTAAGCTTATTTGTTAATCCAATCTACCTTACACTAGAATTATCTCCCAAAAAATGAGTACCTGCATTGAAAGAGTGTATGGCCATGATTAGAAAGAAAATACCACTGGATTTTGTTCGTACCCATGAAGTTTGGTCCGCTAAAAGCTGTTATCTTTTTGATTCTGTTGAAGATGTCACATTAACGGCTTGTCCTGAATGCGGTGCTGCCAGAAGTGCGAAATCTGTTGTCAAAATGGTAGATATCGGGGATCATTTGAGTAAGATGCTTGCTTGTGATGGATTTCGTTCCGAGGTAGAGCAGTATAGAGATGTAATTGATGCCATGACAGAAGATGATCCATATACCGACTTTTTTCAGGCGCTGCTTACAAGGAACTCCGTGAAAAAGGTTTATTTGAAAATAAGCAAGACCTTGCCATTGTTCTCTGTGTGGATGGGTTTACTTCTAAAGTTCCAAGACAAAGCATGGTGATGGTTCACGTAATACTTCCTATCATCGATCCTTCCATTAGGTATTATTTCAAATATATATAGCCCAGGTCCTAAAATTAATACTGATATTGTAATGATTTTCCCTATAGGTATACAGATGAATATACGTTTCAAGTAGCTATCTTCTATGGAGACACCACAACCAATTTTAGTTCGTACTTACGGCCTATAATCAGCAGTCTCGATAGTTTAAGTACAAACCTGATTGTAGTTAAAAAAAATGGTGTTCATGTTGCAACATCCAAAGTTTTTAATCTTGGTGTGATTGCTGATGGCGTTGGGATCAACCAGCGTTTGTTGATGTTTGTTGGTCATACAAGCACGTATGGGTGTAGATTCTGCTTGGGTAACTAAACGAGTCCTTACAGAATACGAAAATTTGTTGACATTTCTCTTATTCAAATTAGTGAAAGGAGAGCGCCCAATTGATGGTGGAAAACTTGGTAAATATTTTATTGATGGAACGTCGTCAATCAGATCAAAGTCCTTGTTGCTGTTGGAGGAGGATATTGTAAGTGCTCCATTATAAAATCATCCACCAATACTAAATATATTATCTCTATAGCCGCCGCATTCAACAATTACGCGATCAAAAGCCTTACACCATTTGGACGCTTAAACACCTTTCTTTCGATTGATTTTTTCATGTGTGATGAGCTTCACATGTTCTCTAACGTCATCAAGTTCTGTTTTGACATTCCTTCTCCTCGTTACAACGACCGTTACAAGTTTGCTGGTAGAGAAGATAAATATCCATTTTGCCTTTCTTCTGCCGAATTTATAAAAATCAAACGATCCATGGATGGCTCTCGTTGTAACATTCCCTCTGACTTCAATGGCTCCTTCCAGGGTACTGTCTCTGAAAATGCTAGGTCAATGTATCGATCTGTCGATTGGATTGCCTGGCTGGTTTACGTGGTTCCCACTCTGATTGCATCTATCTTTGGTAGTAGGAATACTGCTGGTAGAAGTACTGCCTCTGCATTGATTTCCCTTTCTCGTGGTGTAAAACTGAGTTTGCAGTGGTCCATTAACAAAGATGATCTGAAAGATATTGAAAAATAATTAGTCGATTAATCATATATTTACCAAGCCTAACCCTTACTAACCTCCAATGTCATTAAGATTTTTCGATGACTGGTTCAAGTATCTGGACCGCTGCCTTATATTTCAGACCATTTCTCGCACGATCCTCAAGTACAATACGCATCAACTGCATCATATTCCTTACATGATCAAGCGAATGGGGTAAGTCGCCTTTACTAATAATTATTAACGGTATAATATTTACTGACTAACTTTCTTTAGGCCCCTTAGATGCTACTCAGCCAGATCTCTCGAAAGGTCCATTGGAGCTTACAAGAAACGAATCAGATCAACGATGCATCTAGGTGTAAATGCTGGTAATATCATGGAAACGCGGGAAATCTTCAAGTTTTTTCAATTGTCCAAAATATTTGACTTTACTACCTTGACTGCTGTTGCCAACAATCCCAATAACTACATGTCCCATCCCAACAATGATCCTAATTCTCCTCAACTATGGTCTCCTTTCCAAGTGTCTGATAGGGGTTCATTGATTGTACTCAATTTGGTCCGAAAGCTGACATTGGACAAGACTAGTTGTATCAAAGGTGACATTCGTACTCTTCCTTGGTTGAAAGCTTTAATGGATTGTTTAAGTCGAATGGTTGGTTCAAAGCAGGTCAATATCCCTAATTGTTTTCTTCGTCAAGAAGTGATAATTTCGGCCAAACTGTTTTTTGACAACCAGGTGTACATTTCTTCCATGTCAAAAGAAAAATATAAGTCGAGCTCTCGTGGTGGTGAGCATTTGATGTTTACTGCTGTTCATAAAAATAGGTAAGTGGTTGTTGTTATTTTTCTATTGTGTGTATGCTGAATTTCTTTTAAATACAGTCGTTTCTCTTCGGTATCCAACTGGTATGTCTGCAAGGTCCTTTTCTTCTTCAAATTCCAAATGTTCGAGGAAAGACAGGGGTCCCATTACATGTATGGTGAGTTGATGAGAACTCATGGTGTGTCGCCATACTCTAAATCCGTTTCTCGTGTCCAACCTTTCAACGGAACCGACAAATAATTCGTGGTTTTTGACGCCGAGGAAATTGTTTCTGTCGTTGGCTTATTGAAAGAAACTGGTGATGAGTCTACATTTCAATATGTACTTCGAACTCGTGATGCCTTCGAAAAGGACATGTCTGCTACGGCTCGCCAAGTAAAAAACATTGTTTTAACTTAAGCAAAAAAATAAAAATAAAAATTGTAAAAGGAACGAAAAAGCAAAAGTTGAACTTCAGCACCACTAAAGGGAAAAAAAATTTGTCGTGTAACAACAAATGTACCCTCTCCCATTCAAACATTCACTTTTCGCTTATTACTTCCATCAATATTAACTTTATAAACTTCTTTTTCTTATCAGCTATAATAAATATGTCAACAAGCATTATTTCCAAACTTTAAATTTCATTTTTACGGTAGTTTTTCATTTTTTTAAAAGTCGGTATCTGCGCAGTTTTTAAAAAAGTCCGGCGGTATCTGTAATTTCTAAAAATTGCACCGATACTGGCGGTATCGGTCCAAAATATGTTTAGACCGGTAAAAAGTTTCAGGATGTAAGAGTCATTAAATTCTTGAAACTTCATGTTTATATATTTTATTTTAAGAGTCAACAAATTCTTGAAACTTCATGAGGAAATTGATTTCCAGAAGAGACAAATTTGACTTGTGTCTGTGACGAAATCGGTTGATGACCAAGACAAAATTGATCCAAAGCTTGCGACAAACTTCTTTGTGGGTGGTGACAAAAAAAATTTTTTTTGACGGAATAGGACTGTAAATACTGCATTGTCTTGTGCACTGTGGGTAATATACACTCGTTTTTGTTAATTTTTATTTTCTTGGAACTTATTAAGATATCAGATCTTGTTTAAAGCTGCTTTTCATTTTTGGCGTTCTAAATTCTATGAGCATGCTAAATCCAAGATGTATGTTGCCACCAAGGGTCGTTTGTATGAGAGAGTCACCCATGTCGATTGTAAGGAATCTTCCAGTCGTCAATTGTTTTATGCGGGTGCTATTACTAAATTTGTTTTGAATTTTCACGACAAAGATCATGTTGGTGTGAAAAATACTCCGAATAAGATTCATGTCCAGTACGTTGGCAAAGGTCTCGGAGAAGTTGTAATGTAATTAGTAGAGTCACGTATAACTTTTCAAGCTAGAAGAAGGATCAAGAACAACAAAATGAACCCCAGATATTTTTACACTGTCTATCTTCACCATTCTATCTTGTTGGGTGGGAATTTATTGGTACCTTAACCGAGACACCCTCTTATATGAAATATAAGATTGTAGCTGTTCGTTATCCGACTAAATCGCAAATCTTTAAAGTCATCAAAGAGATCAATGCTGAGATTATTGCCCAGTTTATACAAGACAAAATCACTGCTGTTTACGGTGCTCCTTGCTGTGTTATTACGGATATAGAATCAAATTGTCTTTCTAAGCCATTTATATATTTATCTGAAACGTATTGAATGTAATCCAATACTTAGTACTAGTCGTCGTTCTTAAAGTAATAGTCAAATCAAAAATTTGAATTACACGCTGATCCAAATTATGGCGAAGTGAAAAAGAGACCATTACAGCAAAGCGTGGGATAACTACATTTAAGCTTCTCTGTTAACAGTCCGAACCCTATTAATTAATGGGACTAACTTAACGCCTAGAATGTTCCTGAATGGTTATGATATGATTACAACCACTACTTGGATTCCGTCTCTATACGATTTCGTATAAGATCATGTGAAAAAAGACATTAGCAGGAGTGCTAAAATAAACCCAGCATGGTTGACTGAGGTGCATGAAACAACAAAAGCCAATGCTGACAAGAAAAAAAGAGTTCGTACAATACGCAATTTTTGTACTGTAGTAAAACCAGAACTTTTTTTTCAGTTTGAGGACTGATGCTTTCTCGTACAATTGTTGTATATGTAATATCGTTGATATCGGGATGGGCTTTAAAGGTAATCAAAGTAAAGATACCCTTTTATAAAGAGTTGAATGAGCTCATACAAAGCTGTGTCTAAACTAATAATAGATCCGATTGGGATTTATTATTCAATCGTGTAGCCATTTGAATTCAATAAATGTTTATCCATGTATTCTTATTCATTCATAGTAGTCTTTCTATCATTACGATATCCAGTATGTCTACTAAGATCTTATATTAAATTTTTATTGTTTTTATGATTTAATACATCTGCGATGCAACAGTAGAGAAGTATATTCGGTTACATAATTATTTTTCCAAAAACTGGAAGACCATCCTAGATCGCCATACGCATCAGCAACTGCAGAAAGATGTTAATGACCATCGATGTATTATACGGACAGAACTTGATATAAATATAAAGATTTGTTGTAGCAAGTCTTATTCAGGATTATCCATTTTCCCAATCTCACTTTGCCGCTGCTCCACCCTGAATTGACTTTTCGGGTCGGTGATGGTCGATGCATTTGTGGTTAGTGATTATATTTTAGTTTTTTTTTTTGAAACATAATGAGAGTCTTCTGGTTTCCTTTTCTGCATCCTCAATGGTATTTTCTTTTCATTGTCATTATATCATGCATCGAGCCATAACATTTATGTCCGTTACTGATTAAAACAAAATCTAAACCCTGAGAAAGTTTTACTCTTTTTTTTCGACTGGACGGCTAATGCAGTTGATACTTTTTTTCAGGATGTCTCATGTATCCGTTCCACAGGCTCTGAATTGAACCTGTAATAATTTGGAAGATAAGAAAAACACTCTATAAAAATAAACGCTTTGTCGTATTACGTTTGTCTACAAACTATTTGCCAATGGTCCCTTAGGAAACACGAATTCTTAGCTTACCTACATTCTTGTTTGTTTATTGTAATTGAATTGTAACCCTAATTAAAAATACTAGCTTTCTTGTCAGAGCTTTCCAAACAGCAAAAAAAATTAATGTGTTAAGCTAAACGTGATTCCTCCTTCTAGTCCTGATACTGTCAGATAATTTAAAACAGACAAAATCTTTTTCATTGAAAGACTCATTAAAATGTCTATTGATATTATCACAACAGACTTCTACCTTTTTTTCTGCGACGGTAATTATATCCATGCAATAAGCGACAAAAAATGAACTGTTATTTCTGTCCTCATCCTTGGATAGAATTTTTTTCTCTTAGACAGGTATTTTTGGAGGATGCGTATCATTCGAAATCGTATGAGTCATTCCAATATTCTGCCACTTTTGGGTTTTATTGTGTTTACCGTTATCGGGATTCTCATGGTGGATTGATGAAGGAGCGGGGTTGAAAACTTGAGGGCGTTTTATGTATTCATCTGAAACAAAAATTATACGAATAGAAACAAAAAGAAGAAGGACAAATGAAATTTCGATCAAATTCTTAATCTAATTCTTTTATTCTATAGACGCTTAAGTTGGTTTAAATAATTTTAGTGAAAGTTCTATTTCAACTGCTGCGGGATCGATCAACTAAAAAATTCAATCATTAAATGTAGTAACTAATTTACATTCACTTTGGTGGATGCTTTTACGTTCGATGACATTAAGTGTAGATAATGGGAAAAGAATTAATTCTGAGCAATATATTTATTTAAAAAAAACAATTTAAACCCGAGAGCGTATTCTCTTATGATTGCGATCGTCTTCTTCGTCAGAAGAGGAAGATGGACGACGAGGGGAGGAAGCACGAGGAGACAAGACAGAAGGACTACGCGAAGGAGAGGAGGGTGGAGTCATTTCAACCCCAAACAAAGCAAAGGGAGCAAAAGACAAACCGGGTGAGGCCGGAGCCGACGAAGAAGCAGGAGAACCGGGAGCGGACAACAACACAGGAGAAGCAGGGAACGAAGGAAAGTCAGAAAGGGCAGGACGAGGGGACGAGGCCGGAGAAGAAGGGAAGGAATCCCAACCAACAGCAGCAGGAACCGAGGTCGAAAGCGACAAAGGTGGAGAATCACCTGAAACAACAGGCTCCACCGAAACACAAGAAGCAACAGGAAGGGAAGCGTTATCCTCAACAGAGGAAGAAACCGCTACGAAGGCGTTATCCCCAAATGGGGAAGAAACCGCCGGAGTTGTGTTATCCCTAAGAGGGGAAGAAACCACAAAACCAAAAGAAGAGGAGGTAGTCTGACCTGTACTGCCAGAATCTGCAAAATGAGGACGGCAGGAGGAAGAAAATACACAAGCAGAAGGATTCGCAACCTTCCACGCATCCGTAATTGCTTCACAACCGAAGGCAAAAGAAAGAGAGACCGAGGTGCGTTGGCCAAGAGGCAGCAAGGGAGGAAGAAAACCGCGTCCGGTACAAGGGCCACCAGCCACACAAGCGCAATCTAAAGAAACACAAATTGGTTCCTTCTTTTTAAAAGGGGGAAAAGAAGAAACGGAGGCGACAGGAGGCAAACCAACGACAGGAGAAGCAGCGACAGGAGCAGAAGGACAGGCAAGAGACGAAGGAGAAGGACACAACAAAGCCGGATTTTTTTTGACATCGTCAAGGAGTAAAATGTCTTTACCCACCTTGACATAAACATCGCCGATGGGAATGGGTGGGTCTCGTCTCTTTGCACCAAAACGATTACCAAAAAGACGAACAGAATCGCAGAAGCCACTATATTTTTTCCAAAGGAAAAAGACCCCAAACTTGGCGAAGAACCAAGGGAAAGCCAAATAGAATAACACCAGGTGAGTGAGTTCACACATTAAACTATTCAATGTCAAAATTAGAATCTTATTTATATAATTTAGTCATTTGCATTGAACTTACTCGTCATTAAGAATGTACGGGAGCATACTGATTTTCAAGATCGATTTAAGAAGAAGGAAAAAAATAAAAAAAAGGGCAATCACCAATGTTAAAAAAAAAAATTGCTGCGCACGAGAAAATGATGACGTCTTGATTTTTTTATTCCGAAAAAAATGTAACCAAATTTGTTGCTCTCAAAAAATAAAGGCGTAAAAAGAAACATTCTTGTTATTTACATTAATTTTGGAAGCTTCACGTGCAAACATTATGGAATCATTCTTTCTGGTTTTGTTGTAATTGAATGATGTTGTTAAAATCAAATTGCGAATCAGCAATGTTTTTAGTTTTATTTTTTTATGCCCCGGAAACCGTTCGTAATAACCGTTTCAAAAAGTGAGGGTATTTGATCATAAACTGTGCCGAGTTAGAGTTCAGATAGAGACTTATTTGTTGTACGACGTGAATCAATTGCCTTAATTACCAGTTTGCTAATCAAACTTTCTATATTCGGCTTCATGAGTCTACCGAACTTCTCTCCAATCTTCATAAGCAGCTAGTTTTTTTTTGCTATTACATGAAAATCAAATGGATCCTACATAATTTTTTGGAATTTAAATTACTTACGTAATAACGATTTATAAATTGAAAAATCCATAGTTTCAGCCTGCCGCCAGAATTAACTTTCCATTTAAAGACTATAGAAATATTTTTAAAAAATGAAAGAATCAACGTTTTCTTTTGCAAATATAGTTGGTGTTTATTTGCTGTTAACCTCGGAGATGCAAGAACTATATAGTTAAGACAGAGAGCAAAAAGAGATGCCTGTCAAAAACGTCTAGAATAAAAAAACCAGGATATGTTTTACCTCGTTGACTGGAAATTAGAATGTTAATTTAGCCTCAACGAAAGAAAAGGATCTTAGTTGCCAAAAATATCCGGCATCTTCTAAGCCTTGTCAGTACAAAAAGCATTCAGTTGAATTAGAAATTAATATCCGTTGAATATCAAGTTTTTTTATTTCGAATCGTAAGGAATAAATGTACGACTTTCTCACTTGGACAACCGCAAAGTCATTGCCTAAAACAAATGAAATGAAAGGGTACAAGATGTATAATAGGGAAATATTTATTCTTGCATCTACTCACAAAAAGAACAGTAAAAATTAAAGAGTGAACAAAATAAAGCATCTAAAACTTGTATCTTTTTTACAAATAAAAAAAGCACTAAAGTCTTAATCTGACTGGGATGAAGCAAACCGAATGAAATACATTCCATAATTCAGCCCAGTCTTCAAGAAAACGAGACTTTTTTTTCTGGATTTGCTTGCTAGAAGAAAGACGACATAACTTGGCAAGAGACCAGGGAGAAACTGTTACCTATCAATATAATTGTTTAGCGAAATAGAAAGAAAGAACATTTGTTTTACCCAATAAGGTCGAAGCGACAAGACTCAATCAAATGACTAGAATGAAAGCCATTTAACAAAGAAGGACATGACTATCTCTAAAGCAGCTGCAAAACAGTGAAAGCATTTTAGTGCACGAGATGAAACATAGTAGAGTTTGTTGAGAAATTATGGTGAGGATAACGCTATTTTTTAACCCACGTAAACCGAAAGCCAGTTGCAAAACATTGAATGAGAACCCTTCAGAAACAGGGATCACTGTGATTTGTACATGTTGTAGATTAAGCAATAATTTATATTAGAAATAGACATGTCTAGTTGAATCGGAAATATCGAAGAGCTATGCGAGTTTTAAGCGTAAGACCGTTACGTGTACTTTTAGATCGTACTGGTTCTTGACAATTAGTTATCAAGGAATGACCACCCACGACGACAGGCTGTAATGACACAAACATTGGGCAAGATACAACCACAATGGTCTGCAACATTAAGAAAAGATATACGAAGATTATGCTGTACTGGAGGCTGCAGCTAAAACCATTTTCAGAATACGACATGTGAGACGACGTAACAGAAAAGAAAATGTTATTGACGTATCAACCCTAAATGTTACATTTTCACCCACAGCCTATATTTTAACGTATTTCATCCATCTTGGCTATGTTAAAACAAAGATGAGCAAAAACAGCTACACATTAGAAAAAGCACAAAATCTCTCGCTGTCAAGTTCAAGGTGATTAAGTTCCTGTCAGTCGAATTGAATTCGATCCATACACGGCATTTACCCAGGCTTTGGAAGCTCGTATTCAAATCAAGCACATATAACCCGTAAAAGTGATACGCCGTTGATCGCATCCTAAAACTCAGTACTTCAACGTATTTATCTTCTCCGTTTTTTATTTGACTGGATTAACTGTAGCGAAACGAAAAATATAATATAAATTTTCGGACGTCAAATGCGTAAACCTATGTATAATTTTGACCTAGTCTGTATGATTTCAAAAACGGCGGCAACAGGGATGTTTTTGATCTTATCAAAACGACGAGTGGTGTGTTGCAGTATGTTACTAATAACGTGCTATATCAGCACGAGCTTCTACTGCCAGGTATGTATGCCTGGTTGAAATCTGTGTGTAGAAGCCACTGTACCGCTTTGCGGAAGAAGTGCCTTTGTCACCAGAAAACGGCCAATAAAAGGGCCTTGGCTTGTGTCCTCCGAGTTAAAAGCCGAAAGGCTAGAGTCATTATATAAATTTAAAAAGACAAAGGAGACAATAGCTAACCAACCATCCATTTTCAGAAATTCGAGATCCGGGTACAAATTTGGTCAATTTTTGACACCACTATTGCCAAAGAGTTTATCATGTCTATTGTGGAGGCGCAGAAATTTTTTCATTTGGCATACATGTCTGACGAGAGAAACGGTGAATACAATAATTGCAGCAATCAAGCCAAAAAGATTGCTGTCAGGACCCCATCTTGGAGAAACATTACCATACGTTTTTACTGTGAGATTAGATAGGATACAAAAAGTTCATATGTTCTTCACTTACCTTAACCAGCTTTTTGCAAAACTTGGTAAAGTCCCCCTCAATAAGAACCCCATCACGGGCTTGTCAAAAAGAGAGTCCAAAAGAAAATTCTGAAGAATGCTTCTCCTTCAGATAGAGAAATCTTGCCAAGTTGGGGTTTTCAATAAATTATAAAGAAACAAATCTTTCCAAAAAACCATTTTGATAAACATAATTTATTATTTCATATTTATTGCATAATAATATCAGTCATTGTTTACAAACTTACTCCAAAATAGCCCTGGGTAAATCTATGATGACGTTAATGTCATCAAATCTTTCAATATAAACACCAACTGTTGTGTTGTATTTGAGAAGATATGAACACTTGATATGTATAATCTTCTCTCTTAAGCAGATATTCGTATGAGATGAAATCTCAGTACTGTCATAATTTTACTGATGACGTCCATCTCGAGATCGTACAGTTACTAAATTAAGAATCCGCAATAATTACAAAGAAGCTATCCCGGTCAATTAAGATCCTTCTTCGCTTTTTATCAAGTTAACAAAGATCCTTTATTTGTGTCTCATCGACTTTAGAAGACTTTATTTAAATTCGCTAGTGAATACCGCTTTTGCCGCATGTTGAACATATGCAGTGTACTGGCAGAATATCCATAAACGATCAATCCAAAAAAAATCTATACATATAGTAAGAAGAATTAATTGAAGTAAATGTTGTAACATGACTACCAGAGGGCATGTTCTTGTACCAACGAACGTAAGCAAAGGTAAATGTCATCAGTATCCATGCTGTAGTTAAAATAGACTTTAAGAGAGAATAGTTTTTCAGAAAAAATAGATAAAAAAACAAAAGAATACAATTATAAGTCTTGTCAATTTATTTGTATAAAAATTGATTAAGAGCTAACTAGAAGGGCAGGTTTGCCCTAATATTTATAGAAGATTGAAGATATTGTGGGTTGCATTTTTGACAGCTCAGATCCATCGCAGTTTTATATGATGGACCATTCATTTGGTTTATTGAAGATCGTAAGATAGCTGTTCTTGATTTATTTTTGTTCCTTAAATTCTCTGATCTCTCATTGGTCGGAGCCTAGAGTTGTGTTATAACGAAGAAATTTCCATGAAGCCGGGTTACTTATTCCCGATCTGTTATCCGTGAAACATCTTTCCTTTTTTAGACAGTGTTACATCACCTTTTTCTTCTTCTGTTGTTCCTTTAGACTTCAGATTCCTTTCTTTTTCTGGCTGCTTTTCGGACCTTTTCTTATAAAAGGACCCCAAAAATTCATAATAAGATAATTAGTTTGTTCTTTACTTTAATCTGAATAAGTCTTAATACTTTAAGTCTTTGTGATTTTGTATTTATATAATTGCATGTAATTTCCTTCTGTAAAATCAGCATTGTAGCTATTCCATTGCGTATTTACCTATACTCTTTCGAATACCACTCTTATCTAATTTCGTCGTATAAATTACCCTCTTATATAAATATATTTTATCTTTTTCAGTGGACAACTATATAGTCTGATGCTCACTTTTTAAGAACTTTTATCTTAATCTCTATTTTTATTTTCTTCTATTAATTTTACTGAAACTTGCCAGTAACAACAGTAGCATTTATTATGTGGTTTTAGCACACATTTGTGATAAAGAGCGACGGATAAAAATTGAATTTGAGCAGGTAGAAGCACATGGTTAGTTTTACCCCTATATGAATCACGTATATGACTTCCTCTAATAGAGGTTGCTTCAGATAAATTGTGCTTTTGTCATAGAATTTTGATTGATTTAAATTTCATTATCTTTGTTCAAAGTCCTGTAAAGTCTCAAAGTTCCCACCTAATTGGAACTCAGAGCGGTAATAAATTGACTTATTTAAAAAAATGGCCATAAATAATTGCACTTATTTACGGATCAAGTCCCTAGAATGTGACCTGATAACTTGATTTAATTATTTGCATATTATGCTATCCTAAAGTGATATGTTGTTACTTTCTTTGAAATAAACAGTTGGTGGGAATAGTAATGTGGACATGCCTTGTGCATTTGACAATGACGAAAACAGAAAAATAAAGAAATATGTATTTTATTATATGTGACAAAAAAAAAAAAAAAAAAAAAAGCTATTCTAACATTTGGTTTGGGTCAGCACTGCCCTCTGTTTCGAATATCTTGTCGATATTTTTTGACAGCGAGTGTAGTGAATATCCTTTTTGTGATCTCGTTCTTTTCTGCAATGTCTACTGCTGTTCTGGTAGTGATATTGTTTTGGCTTGCATATCGTTCAATTTCGTTTATTATTAATCGACGTCTGTTAAAAATTTTTTTTGTTCTTCTTTCTTCTTCTCCATCTGGTACCCCATCTTCTCTCCAAATCCTTAATTGCATGACCGCCACATAGCACCCTCTGTCCATTCACGCCACAAATCATTGACGGAAACAATTCCTCGCATCATACGATAACAGGGTACAATTACTGTTGATATTGCCATGAAAGGTCAG